AAGCCACATCACAATATTTTCCACCCATAAAGCTCTCCAGAATCTATTCTTAAGATTGCACTAATCCTATAATACAGGTTAGTTCCACTCTCCCTTGTATTAGCTCACTGTGTCAGAAACATGTAGCGAGAGTTGCACTATAATTTCTTAGTACAGTTGACTCTAGATCAATGCAGCAGTTAGGAGTACAGACCTCCCACCCACACAGTTGAAAATCCATACATAACTTTTGACTACTAGTAGCCTACTGCTGACCAGAAACCTTATAGATAAAATTCAACTCATTTAACATATTTTGTATGTTATGTGTATTCTTACCACAAAGTACACCAAGGGAAAAGAAAATGTTATTAAGAAAAATCAGAAGGAAGAGAAACTACATTTACAGTATTGAAAAAAAAAATCACATGTAAATGGACCCATGCAGTTCAAACCCATGATGTTCAAGAGTCAACTGTAGGTATGTAGAGGCAAACCCATCAGTAACAGTGTGGTAGCTTGAAAACATTTTTGCAGGACGACCCTTTGCACAGTTTCAAGCTGTGTTCTGCTAGGTCCCTGTCCATCCCTAAGAATATCTTCTCTTCTCAATTGTTTCACTGACTTTTAAACACACACACGTTTCCTCCCCTCTCCATCTCCATCTCTGCACACCTCGTTCATGGAATCTGTGTTGGAACAAGTGAAGCACAGGTTGGGTAGGGCTTCTATTTGTATTCTGACAACTCTCTCTTACTATTCCTGGCAATCCTAAATGTCATTGACTAAACCTGGATAAACCTGGAAAAATGACCCAATATTTACTGCAATATGTATTATGTCCTTCTCTAAGTGGGGAAGAAAAACTTAGAAAGTTAAAACAGTACAATAATGAAGTCTTAAGCTAAAAAAGAAAAGTAAATGGACAGAGATGTCCATCTTATTTGTTTTCACATTTTGAGTTCTATAATTTAATAGCAACTTGGAACAATTTCTTTATTAGATTCTCCAGTGAATATATAAGCTATTAGAGGCCCAGTGCACAACATTCGTGCACTGGGGGGGGGGGTCCCTCAGCCCGGCCTGCACCCTCTCGCAGTCCGGGACCCCTCAGGGAATGTCCGCCTGCCAGGGAGGGTGGAGAGGCTCCTGCCACTGCCACTCCACTCCCTAGCCATGAGCCTGGATTCTGGCTGAGTGATGCTCCCCCTGTGGGAGCAAACTGACCACCAGGGGGCTGCCCCTGCCCCCTGGTGGTCAGTGCGCATCATAGCAACTGGTCGACCAGTCGTTCTGGTCATTCTGCCATTCGGTCGCTGGGCTTTTATTATATAGGATATTTTTCTTATTTCATTGGAGAGTCATGTAGAGTGAGATAGCAGGAATTAGTGGGCCTTAAACCAACCCCACTAAGTAGCAGAATTAAGGTGAAACTTCTAGAGAAACAAAACCTTTTACGTTTAATGTTATCATTTAGAGGGGAATAAAAAAATATGCCTTCTTAACACAGATGAAACAGCTGTATCATTCCAAGGCTCCTATGTGTCACATTCTCAAAGGAGCTCCAGAGGAATCCCAGTGCTTTGGGGAATGGAATTGCTGACTTGGGGATACCAATTTTCTGAGTCATTAACCATACCCCACTACCACACCCAGGACCTTGGAGAGGCTACTGAGTTCACTACAGAGCAGTGATGTCTGGATCCTTGGACAAGCAAACCTTGGCACATTATATGGTTTTTTTCCCAAAATATTTAAGTCAAGTGCTATATTGATTTGATTAAAATTCACTCCTGGGACTTCATATTCAAAGAAAATTAATTTTCTTTTATGAATTTTCATGAAATCCTCCTGGCAAGTCAACCTCATAGTTTATTTAAGAAGGGTATGTGATTCACAGAGTTACTTGGAATTAGGGTCATTTTGACAATTGCAAGTGGGAAAGTTAAAAAAAAAAGGATTTTAAACATTTTTGATAACTCTATTTTGATAAAATTTAAAACTTATAAAAAAGTCATCATAGAGACAGGGTATTCTCATATCTTTTACCAGGTTTATTTTTATTTATTTATTTATTTTAAAAATATATTTCTTATTGACTTCAATTTATTTTAAAAATATATTTCTTTATTGACTTCAGAGAGGAAAGGGGAATGAGAGAGAGAGAAACATCAATGAGAGAGAATCATTGATCGGCTGCCTCCTGCACGCCCCCTACTGGGGATCAAACCCACAACCCGGGTATGTGCCCTTGGCTGGAATTGAACCCGGGACCCTTCAGTCCACAGGCCGATGCTTTATCCACTGAGCCAAACCAGCTAGGGCTTTTACCAGATTAATATGTTGACATTTGCTCCCTTCCCAACTCCTCTCACCCTTCCTCTCTCTATCCCCCACCCCAGTGCTGGCTGGCTGCTTTCCCTTATATATTTACTAGTGGCCCAGTGCACGGATTCATGCACATTGAAAGGAAATTAATTAGAAAGTGGCCTGCGGGGCAGAACTGGGCAAGACGGGCCGGACATGCCCTGTAGCCAACCTCCCTTGTTCCCTTCCTGGTGGCACACCTGGGGTGGTGCCATAGATCGAAGGGTGTCTATGGAGTGAGCAGGGTCCCTCTGGTAGTGGGGTCCCTTGACCTGGCCTGCAGGGATTGGACTAAAACCGGCTCTCTGACATCCCCAGAGGGGTCCTGGAGTATGAGAGGGCACTCTGCAAAGTTGCTGTCGTACAGGGTTGGAACACAAACGCAACTGTGCAGTAAACCAGATTCAGGGCCTACAGTGCCCCAGCAACAACATAACCCATGGTCAAAGGTGGAATCACAAGGCCCCACGAGGAATCGGGCTCCCTCCTCTCATTTCAGGGTTGCATCACCTGAGAACCGCCGCTGCCAAGTTACTGCAGCTCGGCAGCTCCTGAGTTGAGCATCTGCCCCCTGGGGGTCAGTGCTCATCATAGCGACCATTTGGACAGGCGGAGGGACACTTAGCACATTAGCCTTTTATATATATAGATATCACCACCCAATACCATCACATTAGGGATTAGCTTTCAGCCAATGAATATGGGGAGGAAGGGGAAGCACAGACATTCAATCTATGGCACACTTCCATAACTATAATACAGTCATCAAGATGAGGAAATATCACATTGATAGAATGTTTAATCCATGGTTCATATTTCAATTTTGTCAATTTCTCCCTAATGACTTCCCTTTTACCCCCACCCACACCCTATTTAGGATTCAAGCCAGGATCATGCATTGTATTTTGTTGCCCTGTCTCTTTATTAAAAGGTTTTTAACCTAATTTAAGTGACCAAAGATCTTAGAACCAGTTCTGGCTATGATTGCTCTGTGGAAGAAGTCTGTAAAAGGAAGACTCCTAAACGAGATGATGGCGAAGTCCATATTTGTGGCTTAAGCCAGCTGGTGTCAGCGCAGGCATGGTTTTATGCTGCTGGAAAGGCAGGAAAGACCTGTTTCCTGCACTGCCTCCGTCGTCCCAGGGCTTTAAGAAGGGCCCCCCCACCACCACCACCCCAACAAATCTGGGAGTTATGCCCTGTTGGTCAGTTAAGGGAAGCTGATTTGCCACTTGGATGGAGTTGAGGAAGAATCAGTGGCCCCAGATGTATTTCCCCTCAGGGCTGCTGGCATTCACACTGTGTCATTGGAGGCCTGACCCTCACTTTTATTCATTTTATTCAAAGGAAAAGTCCTTATGAGAGAAGAGGAGCTGGGGAAACTGCCAAATGCCTTAGCGGAAATGGCATTCCTCGGTCTAAGAAGATCCTGGGGTGAAAGCAAAAGCACAAACCCAGGAGGTTGGCCACCACCATCTTTAGAGCTCCTCCTGGATGGCCTCGAGGGGACAGCCCAGAGGCTCCTGTCTGGGAGGGGCTCTCCTCCTCCACACTGGCCCCCAGGGCTCCTGCCCTCTCCCTCGCTTCAGGCCCTGGCCCATGCCCTCACAGAGAGGGGTTTAGAGTGAAGCTCTGTCCTGCCAACATTGGAAGGCCTCCTGCCCGAACCACCCTACTACCATCACCCACTCTTTCTCAGGGCCACACCCCTTCTCTCTGGGCCTGGGTGCCTTGAGCCCGGTCCTCTGCCTCCTTCCTGCTCTTCATCCTCTGACCTCAGCCCCAGCAGCCTGAGCTCTCCCTCTTGCCCTGCTCTCTCAGTCCCCTCAGCTTTTCCCTTGGGCCAAATGAGTATCACCAATGGCTTAGAAAGTGAAGAGGCAGGAATCTCCAGAACCCCAATTAGAAGTTTATAAAAAGCATTTTTTACATGAAAACTTTATTATATATATGTTATATCTGTAGCACAGTTCATCCTCATTGTCAGATATATTATGACCTACAAGTTAGGCCCTGATTGCCTAACTCCCATGTAACATAGATGCTCTAGAAAAAAGCATGTCAAGTTCCAGAAAACCTTACAGCACCTTACTCCTGATCAGCTTTTCCTGCTTTATGATTGACCATGTTCCTGTGTACTTAGTTGGTAAGATCTTCTAGATTGATAGTGTTCTTTGTGATACATATGCTAATATGTGTAATACATATATATATATGCATATATACAAACACACATATATATATATATTCATATACACACATAATGTATATGAATAAAATAATCTCATCACCTGAGTTTAACCAGATAGGTAAAACAGACAAATTTAAAAACCCTGTAAAGGTCCTGGCATGAAGGCTGTCTCTATTTTTGTTTATTTTTACAAAGTATTGTTCTGGTGTTCCAATTTTTCAGACAAATAGTTAAAAAAAAACAACTAAGTTTTGATTTAAAGTTTCAGTATTGCTGATGGTGATCTCTGATCCAAGCTGTAAGTAAGGAAGGCAAACCTACTTCAGAACAGCTACGGCCAGTTTCGGACAGTGTTGTATCCTCTTTGTTTGCCTGCTTTTCAGCTCACGAAATGCTACGGGCTAAAATTCACCTCTCTCTCATTTCCCTCTTCTGTTTTCTCGTTTGTACATGTTAAACTCAGCAGGTCACAGAAAGTCGAGAGAGCCAAATGACTATCGAAGAGAGGAAGCACCTCATCACTGTGAGAGAGGAAGCTTGGAAGACAAAAGGCAAAGGGGCAGCTAACGACTCCACCCAGTTTACCGTGGCTGGGAGAATGGTGAAGAAAGGTCAGTATGCAAATGTGCATGTTGTACACGTGTACATGTGTGCATACATGCTCCATCACCCATGGAGGGGAGGAGGTCCCGTGACAGATCAATGAAAACAATCGCACCATGGTATATTTTAGTTTTTAATCTCAACAGATGTTGTGTAAATGTGTTTTGGGGTCGGTTTTTTTAGATATTTCTACCGAAACCTTTTTATACATAGCATCATCTTCAATGTAAAAGGCATAATTCAATTTCAAAACTTAGCCATTTGGAAATTGAGCACAAGTTTCAAAAGCAATTGCAAGTCTGCCAACAAATCTTAGTTCTTTCCCATAATTGCTTTCAAATTATTTCCATTTTTTTGCCATCTGGCAATCAGTTAACCCAAATTAGCCTTTCTCAATGAAGAAGGAGTTTCCCTCTTCTCCCTTGTAGGGTAATTCCTAGGTCCCTTTCCATAAAGCTGAGTTCTCTGGCTTACAAAGCTGTATTTCCAAGTATGTTTTAAACATCTTTTAAAATATATACCCAATTCAAGGAGTGGGATTTCCTGCAGACAGTCATTTATCTGCATCTGAGCTCTTGGAACTAATTTGAAACCTGTACACAAAGATTTATGAAATTGAGGAATCACATGGTTAGTAAAGTCACCAGAGAGCTTTAAGCCTCCATATCCTGTAGGAAATGTTTAAAATTTGGATCCCTTTGTCTCTTATTGCGTATGCCTTTATTTTCTGGGTTATTGTTTAAAAACAAATTTTCTAAGTTAGTGATAAAGATTTTCACATTCACTTAGAGTTCATTTATGTTGTCATTAGCTCTTCTAAGTTTATCTTTCCCTTTTCTCAAAATCTTTCACGATTCTCACTCATAAATAGTGCCTAACTCACTGTAGTCTCATAATAAATCTTTGCAGATGGAAGAGAGGGAGGGAAAACCCTTGAATTGTGATTAACTCAAATCTTGGTGGAATAATCCTCGCTAACAAATTCTTAACTAATCTTGGAATTGTCAAAAGATAATAGCAGATAATTTACTCTCACAAAATGAGATAGCATTTGAGTATTTTCGCCAAATCACAGAAGAGTGTAATCATGTTAAACCTCTTTAATATGAGCCCCATCCTGTGCTATCAAAAGCAGCTCCTGAAGACCCACATTGATCAAGAAGAATTCAAGTTGAGAACTTGAACCAGAGCTCAGATCTAGCCTGGACTTTTATCCTGATGACTTTATTTTTCTTTCATCTTAAAAATCACATTTATTTGTAAGTAGGCCACTTACTACCAAACCCTGCTGCTCTAGTCCACAGCACTGTGAGATGAAGGATATTTGCTCTTACGTGGGCTCGGAGAGCAAGATCCAAGAAGTTCCTATCTCAGTGGACGAGTTTGCATTCACATTTTCCTGACTAAATCAGAGATCTTTATTTAACAGGTGCTATGTTGTTGGCTCAGGAAATAATTTTCTTACACTTTTAGCCTAATGAAAAACACTGTACCCTATTTTTCTAATATTTGTTACCACCTACTGGTTATATGTTTCACTTGCGTTATCAGCTGTTTTTTATTTGCCGTAATATGGCATCCAGTTTATACTCACTATAGAATAAAATAACCCCCTACACTACAGTCACTGAGACATCCCATTTCATCTAGTTACAATGACACGTATGAGTTACTGCGTATCAGTGAATTGCCAAGAGGCACACTGTACTCTCATTTTCATTCTCTCAGGCCAGGAAACTCTACTATTCTCTAGCCTCATTAGGACTTTTCCCCTTTTTGATACTCCTAGAGTGTGTGTAACAATTAGCACTCCAAAAGCTTTCTGTGATATTCTAGTATTCTCCTGGAAGAAAACTACTCAAAGTATGCCTTTGAACAAGAGGGATATGAAAATGTTCCTGAAGAGAGTGGGTAATGGTTTTTGCAAGTAGAAGTCATTGAAAAGAGGTATGGGGAGTGCTCTGTTTTAGTGTGTAATTTAAATCTATTTGCCCTCTCACATTGCAGAACATACTTATATCTAGCTGGGAAAGAGGTGGCCCACATCCAAGAGCTCTCCTGCATGCTGCTGCCTGAATGGGCAGCAGGGGGCGCCCTGGCAGTACAGAGGGCCAGGTTTCCTGGTTGCCTGTTTTTAACTTTAGAGTTAATGACCTCCGTGCTAATGAACCTTTCCATGTCTCTTTTGCATCCTTTTAGTAGGTAATGATTTACTGCTCCAGCCTGTGATACCAAATTTCACCTATCTTTATTATCTTTCAAGAAAAATTTATTTTCTCACTGATGGAAACCCTTTGCAGGTCTGGTAAATGAAATCAAATTTGAAAAGTTGACATCATCAAGCAAATATATGTATGTCTTAAGGACTTCTAGAATAGCACCTAAAACTTAAGTTTTAAACTAGATTTCAGTATTTTGCCTTAAAATTTTAATGCTGCAATACATCTTTCTCTAGCTCATAGGAGGAAGGAGCAGAGCAATTCATTAATTTATTTTTCCTTGTAGGTGATAGTGACTCATCTTCTTCAGATGTGCTTTGAGGGATGCTTAAAGTGACAATGTTATCTAAGGATTTCACATTTATACAAACAACATTAACACCTCATTTTTTCCTTTGTAAATATACTAATTATTTTCCTTTCCAAATCCTTCTATTTAAGTTGGGTGTGAGAAGGGATGTTGATTTTTGTTTTTATCAAAATTTCTTGTTCTGACCAGATACCTTTTTTATGCTGGAATTCCTTTCTTTCCCTTTCATGTGTCCCTTACCATTTCTCCCTTTAAAGATTCCCCACCCTGCTTCGTGATAAATATATGAGAAAGCGTATCATGGGTTCCCAGCCACACCAGAGATGGATATGCCCTTCCAAAGATCACAAATCACTTTCACTGTGTACTCTTCTGTCTTTTCTTCTACAGGGTTAGCACTCTTCAGTTATTGCTCAGTAAAGCCACACTCCTCTGAGTGATGCTCCAAAGGCTAGACTGTCCCTACCTCACCTCAGCCTGGAAGGAAACTGGTGCTGGCAGCCACTGCCAGCCAGTGCGACACAACCCCTTCTCCTCTTCCTCCATGGGAGATGGTGCAAATAGACTTCCTCCTCAACTATGCACACCACCACTAAGGGCCTTCAGAGCTCACACTCCATTTATTCAAGTATATTCTGATAGACTGTTGTACCTTCTTATCCCACTTATGTGTTACGGCCATGTTTCCCCACATCCTCATTATTCATTTTGGAATGGCAGCTTATCAGCTACTAAAGTCCTTAGAAACTATCAGATTCTATCTACATGTGCAGTTGTCCTACACAGTCATGGTACCTGCCAAATGTACTTGTATGTGCACATGCATGTTTGTGTATAAATTCTATAAATTGTAAAATGTACATTGGAGATAAGAGAGGTCCACCAGGGTTAGGGGAATTTCCAGGAATGACCCTGAGGTACTAAATAGCTCCTTGTTTGTTCTGCAGGTTTGGCATCACCCACTGCCATAACGCCAGTAACGTCCCCTATTTGCAGTAAAACAAGGGGCACAACACCCATTTCCAAACCCCTGGAAGGTAAGTCACCACGGCACCCGATATGCCAGGGGCTCTGTGATCAGAAGAGTCCTCAGTGGGTCTCTCTCATTGATGGTTTCTACTTGCCTAGATATTGAAGCCAGACCAGACATGCAGTTAGAATCGGACCTGAAGTTGGACAGGCTGGAAAGCTTTCTGAGAAGGCTGAATAACAAAGGTACATGCCAGAAGCCAGAGGGAAGCTTTGGTTTATATACCTGTAGCACACTGCGATTCGTATTTCAGTGAGTAGCTAAGGAAACATAAAAGAACCTGCTCCTCTCTCAAAACCTCTACGTCCCAATTGTGATGGCTTTCCCCTCAGTTAAATTGTCTTCTTTCTATATGACTGGACCGATTTATTCTGTAAGCATTATCTTTGCTGTTATCTTTTTAAACATTAAGTTACTAATCAAGCCGGATTGTATTACCAAGCTCTGATCCATTTGATAATGTACTAAATTGGGGATCCCCAATAACATTTCTTATTAAAATCTAAATCTTGGGGGTGTCATCCCATCAGAATCATGATTTAATTTTGCTTTTAACCCTGAGAGCAGATTATTCTACTTATACAAAGTCAACATGATCTTGGGCCTGATTAACCTTAAATTGTATATGTTAATTTCCAGTAAGGTAGCAGCTGATATATCTTATAATCGCAAATAATTTCTAAAAGGAAATTTTGGTAAATAATATGTTGAAATAAATATTTCAGTACAAAAGTCAATGGAATATACAAAATGAAAGAATAAAATGTAGTAATACCCTTATCTCTTAATTAAAATTTCCAGTACTTGAAGCTTATCAAATATTATACTTTGGGAATCCCTGTCATTGAAACTGACCCCTAATAGGTGGGAAATAATACAAAAGAAAAAAAAAAAAACCACCCCCACACACACAAAAAAACCCTTTAAACCAGAAATATAAAAGTGTAATAGGATAACTAACCTGGCAAGGCAAGCAGTGCAACCAGTTCAACAGTGATCTAGCCCAGGGGTCTAATCCAACTCACCACCTGTTTTTGTAAATTGAGTTTTATTGGAACACAGTCATGGCCACTGTTAAGGTATTGTCTATAGTCACTGTTGCACTACAACAACAGAGTTGAGTAGTTATAACACAGGCCATATAGCCTCCCATGTAAAGCCTAAAATGTGTACTTCATGGCCCTTTGCAGAAAAACATTTTTCTGACCCCTCATACAGAGACTGAGGCTACTTCTGCTTCGAGTAGCAAAAGGAATTTAGTGGGCTTGTGTGCAGCAAGGACAGCCTTGTGTCTTCTACACGTCACAATGCAAGCGTTGTTCGCACTGGAAGTCCTTCCATGAGAAAGCAAGGAAGGCCTAGGAGGCATCCACAGGACCCTGGATATCACTATTATGGCTGTCACTATGGAGAGGGGCGGGGGATAATTGTTAAGATATTGTGAGGTGCAGTTGGAATAATGTTTTTACACAAATTTATGTTGTTTACTTGCTTGTTTATTGATAGTTGGTGGGATGCAAGAAACTGTACTCACTGTCACGGGCAAATCTGTTAAGGAAGTGATGAAGTTGGACGATGACGAAACCTTTGCCAAATTTTACCGCAGCATGGATGATACCGTGCCAAGGAGCCCTGTAGAGCTGGAAGAAGATTTTGATGTTATTTTCGACCCTTATGCCCCCAAGTAAGTTACTGAAATTTCCATCTTTCACCTACTGAGAATGGACTCCTCCATCGGCCTCTACCCAGGATTTCCATGAGGCTCTTCTCTCTCACTCTGATAAAACTTCATTACAGACAAATTATACAGTAGTAGTCGTCCCTCCCCGCCCCCCGGCCCCTTTATTCACAGAGGGTATGTTCTAAGATGCCTGAATCTGGAGATCATACCAGATCCTTCATATAGTATTTTTCCCCCCTGTATTTCATAAATATAAATACCTTTTCACTTAAAGGAAGCACTATATGGCTTCTCTGAATTACCATCATCACTACTCTTGTTCTTTGGGGCCATTATTAAGTAAAATAAGGGTGACTTAAACACAAGCACTGTAATAATGTGACAGTCGATCTGATAATCAAGGTGGCTACTAAGTGACTAATAGGCAGGAACACCTACAAGGTGGATGAGTCACAGGATGGAACGGAACGGCAACAAGTGTTACACTGCTATTCAAAATGGCACATAATTTAAAACTTATGAATTATTTATTACTGGAATTTTCCATTTAATATTTTCATACTGTGGATGATCCTTGGTCACTAAAACTGTGAAAAGTGAAACCATGGAATGGGGGGGAGAGGGGTCCTACTGTATTCTCTGAGCCAGACACGTAGTGCTGTGGGTAGATGAAACATGCATGCCCAGAACTGATGCACATTCAGGCATGTGCCACAGATATTTGTCCTGTTCCTAAAATGTCTCTGGATTTTTCACATACTCCAATATTGTTCTCCATATTATTAGACTAACATCATTTCGTAGAGATTTCTATACCGTCCTTTATTTGATACTAGAGGCCGGTGCACAAAAATTTGTGGACTCGCGGGGGTTCGTCAGCCTGGCCTGTGCCCTCTGGCAGGCTGGGACCCCTTGAGGGATGTCCACCTGCTGGCTTAGGCCCGCTCCCCGGGGGAACGGGCCTAAGCTGGCAGTCAGACATCCCTCTGGCAGCCTGGGAGCCCTTGGGGGATGTCCACTTGCCAGCGGGGAGCAAGCTTAAGCTGCAGTTGGACATCCTTAGCACTGCTGAGGAGGCGAGAGAGGCTCCCACAACCACCGCTGTGCTGGCAGCCGTCTGCCTGGCTTGTGGCTGAGCAGAGCTCCCCCTGTGGGAGTGCACTGACCACCGGGGACAGCTCCTGCATTGAGCGTCTGCCCACTGGTGGTCAGTGTGTGTCATAGTGACCAGTCATTCCCAATCGTTCTGCTGTTAGGGTCAGTTTGCATATTACCCTTTTATTATATAGGATAGAGGCCTGGTGCACGGGTGGGGGCCAGCTGGTTTTCCCTGAAGGGTGTTCCGGATCAGGGTGGAGGTCCCCACTGGGGTGCCTGGCCAGCCTGGGTGAGGGGCTGATGGCTGTTTGCAGGCTGGT